ATAAAAAAATAAAACAGACCTTGATTTGTGAAGACTGTTGGGCATGGCATTGTGATTGGACAGTGCAACACTACATGTCTTGTGTAACACATACTAAAAACAAGTCAAAGTCTTAGACCTGCATGCACTTAAATCACCATAACCAAGACAGGTAGACGTGATTTACATACAAGACTGAATGTGTTTTTAAGTTGGACACCGGACATACTAAGTGATGATGACACTGTTGAGGACAATGATATGGCCCCCACAGAGCCATGATCTTTACATTACTGAGTCAGTCTTGGATTACATGATGAGACAGAATAGATTTGGCAAGTCAGGGCTGGTAATAACAATTGTTATATTTATTGATTCTGCATGTTAAAGCACAGTGAGGATGTATGACACAACTGATTTACCTCAGAAATGTTTTTTTGCAGTTGATCAAGTGTTTGTCATTCTCTGCCCAATAAAGAATTATTTAAAACCACTGAAAAATCAGTCTTTAAACTTAATCTGATATTTATTTCGATAATAATAGATATTGAGTGATCTGAAAACATTGATAACAATTTAATGTTGGGTCATCTTGCCCAGTGTCTAGTTCTGCTTCCTGTCTTAGTACCTAGAGAACTGAAAGTTTGGTTTTAAAAAAAGAAAAACATGTTGACACCAAATATTAATTTGATTGAGGTTTTGTGACTGAACTTTTGAATGCAGTAAACAGGCAAATATAAACCACTCACTTTAAAGTCATTTTTACAGTTCGGTCTTGGTCATATAAATTCGTTCTACGCTGTTAAGCTAATTGATTTTATTAATCTATGAAAAAGTGTAGCACGACTGGAGGGTGAGGACAGACAACAACTTTGGAACCACACAACATTGCTAACGTGCTCACATGGAGGTCGGCTAGCTTAAAACTCCATTTTGTGATGTTTTCCACGAAGTAACTTGACTCACCGAACAGATATTAAGTGGGGCTGCGGCAAATAAATGCTATGAAAAGATCGTTGGTGCTAATTTATTCGATATTTTAAAATAAATTCATCATTTCGGGGCTTGTCACAGTGACACGTGAGCAGCAGCTATGTAGCAGCACAGCCAACAAGTAGCTCCGTTAGCTAGTGTTAGCCACAAAGCTAAACATCACTAACCTGCATTCAGCACGCTAAATGCTACACGCCCGACGGTCACTCTGTCTATTTTATACGTCTGGACACCGGTCACATTATTACGGTGTCGTGTCAGCTCTGATATTAATCTTAACCCGGCCGAGACTGTGTGTGACGAGCTAACAATTACCTCCCCAGCATGACAAGAAGGGTTAGCTTGTTTAGCATTAGCCACACAGCTGGCTCAGGCGAACACTGACGTCGCTTACTGGCATCGACGTAATTTCTTATCGCGGCTGGATTCGTGTTATTGTCCCCGCGGTGGTGTTGAGGGTGAGGCTGGGAGACACGGGGGTGTTATGCGGGCCGAGCGGCTGAATTTCGCTCCGGCTCGGTCACGTTAGCGGGCAGCGGAGCGCCGATTGCGTGATCGCACCATCTTGATGTTGTGAACGGCCCAGGCCCGAGCCGAGACCGCGCCACAACTGCCTTCACCATTACAGGCTCGCCTCAACTTTTACCTCGTTCAGCTGCCTCTCCGCGGCCTCCCGCAGGTTGGGGTCCATCGTCCCCCGAAGGGCCTCGACCAAAGACTCGGGATCCATGGCGAACGCTCTGTTTTACGGCTCGGATTTTAATATTTCAGAGGACTCTCAATTCCCAGTCACTGCGCACATGGACGCACGGCTCTCCGGTTACCCGGCGCGAAAGGAAGCAGTGAATGAAGTACCCGGATAGATCAGCGCCAGATTTGTGCAACACGAACATCCGGTTGCGACCAGTGCATTATGGTAGTTGCAGTTTTTAGTGTTTGTTTGTTTGTTTTTGTCAAGTCAGTTTAAATGCAGCACCCAAAAGTTAGTGACTCTTGTTTAGCTAACCCCCATTGATCTGAATAGTCTGGACCAGATTATAAAATAAGAAAATCCTTTATTAGTCCCACAATGGCGACATTTTGCAATATTACATCAGCAAGAGCAAAAAAACAGGCATCAATAAGTAATAACAAGTAACATGCAATACCTTAGTGTAAGGAAATATAAAACAATTATGAAACGAACAAAAGCTAGTATATACATTGTAAAAACAAGAACAAATATGTACAGCTTGAGAATATGTACAGTGAATGGATTGCACATGAACTATTGTATTGCACAGACAGAATTAATATTGCACAGGTGAGAGAGTTAAACCAGAGTTAAAGTGCAGAAGTCCATAATGGGTGCATGTGGTTCTACTGGGAGCAGAACAGATTGTACAGTCTTACTGCTGCAGGAAGGAACAACCTGCAATACCTCTCCTTCAGATACTTTGGGTGAATCAGTCTGTCGCTGAAGGAGCTGCCCAGTGCTGTGATGGTGTCCTGCAGGGGGTGGGACTGGTTGTCCATCAGATAAGACAGCTTCGCCATCATCCTCCTCTGTCCCACCACCTCCACTGGGTCAAGGGGGTATCCCAGAACCGAGCTGGCCCTCCTAATCAGTATATCCAGTCCAGAACAACTAATAACAGAATGAAACGAATAAGAAATGACTACGTCCCACATAAATGATGGATCAATCAAAAAAAGTCTCAGGAGGATTAATTGTAATCGTAGAAAACAACACAAACAAGAAATGTCAATATATAATGTTTAATTTAATGTGTGAATTGTGCAGGATGAGTAAAAACAAAACTTAGAATTTATTATTAGATATAAATTTTTGTATATGATTTATAAATGATCTAAAACCTTGTGTTTGACTAATATCTGTTAAAAGAATTACTATTTTGTTTCTCTTCTGTATGTACTGTTTTTGTCTGTTCATGTGGCTGTGTTTGTTTGTTGTGTTTATGTATATATATGAAGAATAGCTAATGCATGGTGCTAATGGGGATCCTAATAAAGAAAGAAAGGGAGCAGATACACAGTTTTAGCTTTTGAATTGAAGAAGTACTTATACAACCTATGTAGTGCATTAATTCATACCCAAATAAAATAGGTCCAAATAATGGGTTTGTTTTGGTAAATACATCCATGGATGTGATTTTTTTGCAAGAAAAACCCTGTTGAAAAAGAAGTTGTTTTTCAAGGCAAATAAAAAGTTAGCATAGATCTATAGGATTAAATAAATTGTTCATATCAGACCAACATTTCTACATGTTTTTGCAGAAACATATTAAGCTGAGAAATATTTTTTCATTTCTTGATATAGCTTTTTGCTGGAGATTCTAATGCTGATTATTTGTAAAGCTGTGATTATAGAAATTACAATTCAGCAATGAGTTCTTCAATAGCTAAGATAGTCTTTTAGTCCAGGCATGGTTCAGGTGCTGTTTGTCAGGATGGAATGTGGGGGACTGAATCATCAGTGGCAACCAGAGTGGTATGCAAATGGTAGCGGGAGAAAGCTATAGAGCATCAGTTGAACCTAGAAGTAGAGTGGATATGCCTCAGAATGATGAGATCAAATGCACAACACTGGGGTGGGACATTACCATCTAGCAACTGGGTTGGAGCTTGTGGAAAAAAACAGAGATAGTTTGCTGGGGAGTACTGGAGGACTCATGTGGAAGACACTGGACCGACTCATTAGGAGGACCAGCTCAGTCCTGGGATACCACCTTGACCCAGTGGAGATAGAAAAGAGAATGATGACTAAACTGTTATTTCTGATGAAAGAGCAGTCCCACCCCATGCAGGACACAATCCCAGCACTGGGCAGCTCTTTCGGTGACAGACTGATTCACTCCAAGGGAGTGAGGGAGAACCACATTCCAGGACCGTGCTACAAACTCACTCAGGTGACTCAATTAACTTAATCTCTGCATATTTTATTTTTCTTTGCACACATGACAAACAACAACATACTGATCATAAATACAATGAGAAATTTAAAGATATGAGTGCAATAAGAACTTTTATTTGAACTATTTTATCCAGAAGAAATACACTCTCCCTGGTATAACTAATGCAGTCTACATAATACAACAAATATGCTATAAATTTGTGTGACTACTGAACTCTATTGTGTTATTCAAAGAGATGTACCTGCAATTGGGCTTTCCCTTGTTGATTTGAATGTAGACAATAATATAAAAGGAATAAAGTGTTTCATTCATGGAATCAGGCAAACTAGGATAGTTTTCTTATATAAGCTGCTGAGAGACTGGGTGTTTAAAATCACTGAGCCAGGGAAGCAGCTCAAACTTGTGAAAACTCACAGATCTACTTCTGCTGCAGAAAGGTATGATGGCAGAGAGAGTTCAACACACTGCAAATTAAGAAAAAACCTGCAAATTAAGAAAACAACTTCATCAATTTGACGACACATGCGCTGCAACAAGTCACAATGCAAGCAAATACAGGAACCATCTTCACAGATTTGAACACATGCAAATAATGAAGCACGCTGCAAATTGCGAAAGCAGACTGAAATGTTTCCAGGGCACCAAAAAAAGTGATGAACTTGGCTGTAGTTAAAATCCTTGAGAAGTTTCATCACCACTAACGAGAATACACGAATATGTATTCATCTAGTTTTTGTCTTTTTGCCTTTTAAATTTGCACATGGAGCTGGGTGAAACGCAGTTTCGTTCTGCTATGTACTTCTTATGGTCTGAATGACTATAAAGTTCAATTTGACTTTGAGTAGCAGACTTCAGTAACTTCAGAAAGCAGTCAACTTTTCCGGTGTCATTTTTGCTATTTTCAGCACATTTCCGTATTTGCATGTGTTGTGACTTTTTGCAACGTGTTTCTGCATCTGCATGTGTTGTCACTTTTTGCAGCGCATGTGTCTTCAATTTGATAACGTTGTTTTCTTAATTTGCACGTGTTTTTTCCTCATTGTCTGTGTGGAGCTCTCTCGGCCACCGTCAGGCTTTTTAGGGGCCACAAGACGCAATGACGGTCTGGCGGACGAGGACGAGGAGAACTGCAGGGGGCGCTGTGGTGCGCTGTGGTGGATGGTGCTGCTGGGTGTGAAGGTAAAAGGTCAGCCTGTGTAACGTGTCCGTCAGCGGGCTGTCACTTCACCGGTGTCGGTCACCAGTCACTCCACCCGCCACCCGCCGGCCCCCGCTGCCGCTACACACTTGTTCACTGGTGCTTCAGCCGAACTCGACCTTCACTCAGAAAAATGGCGAAAAAGCGAAGGGAGAGACGAGAGGCGGACGGTTTGTCCTCGTCCCAGGAGGAGGTGAAGGCGAACGACAGCGACTCCCAAGCGCTGAAAGGTAGGTTCACACTGCGGCGGCTAACAACTGCTAGCTCCCTCTCGGTTTAGAGAACAAAGCAGGGGAAAAGCAAAGCGAGCACTTGGGTTTTCAAAACGCAGACTTACACCAGTTCTTCATTTAGCTCAGTGTTTGTAGTGAAGCGACCAGCGAGCTACAGAAACCTTCAACAGCTGCGATGGTTCGCTTGATTACAGCAAAGCTAATGACCCACACGGTGCTGTGGGCTGGAAGCAGCTGAAGAAATACACATGACCGAGGCAGTGAGCCCTGGACGAGCTGTGGACAAATTAAAGACATGCAGTGTCAGTCAGCACAACGCACCTACTATAACTTCACTTTCCCTAACAGCCTCTTTTATTGTCATATTTTACACGATTGCATAATTATAGCTGATGTATTTGTAATAACATTAAGGTCAAGGCCATACATTATATTTAGCTCTCTCGTGAAGGTCGTGGTTCAAAGTTCTTCTGATCACAGGATGACAAACAGCTCAACCTTTTACAAACCAAAGGAAGAAGAATAATGTTTCACCTCCTCACTGTGTTTGTACTGTATTGATCTAAAGGGAACTTGATGAAAACTATATTGCACTAATTAAGAAATCAGAAGTATTTAATTCGTTGTAATTGGTCGAGGTTCAGTTCAAATGATTTTATACCCTGTTGTATAGTTAATCTATAACAATGCATACTCTTTTATAAACTTATTGTATGTGTTGTATGTAAAATCATAATGAGTAAATCAAATAGTCACTAACTACAGCTCTCATATAAAGTGGAGTAGAGGCTACAGAACATCTATCTACAACATTATTCTTCTACATTTTAAAGTGTCATTTCATGGAATTATTCTAGTACTGACAAGTACCTCAAAAGTGTTCTAACTAAAGTACTGTTGTTGATGTACTTCATATCATTTCACTGTTGCTAATGATGTGTCTGCTGAAAGGGATAAAGGGTAAACCAGGATGAAATGGGATGTAAGATCCTTTAATTCAACTACTTAAAGGTACAACAGTTAAACACACACATCGAGATAAAACCACACAAAAAACAACACTGTTATGAAAGAGATTTAGTGTAATTCCATTATTTAGAAGCACAAATCTAAACCTCCATTATTTCCCATTGTACACGAAACGTTCAGAGGATTTCATTCACAGAGTCCAAGATTTTCCCTTCAAATAAAATATATATTGTGTCTGAACACAATCACTGTTATAAAGGTTGTTCTTAGTGCTACTAACTTTAAACAGTTTTGTTTTAATAAAATAATTGTAGCAGTATTGCAGTCACCCTGGTAACCTGTAATAATTGGCATCAGTTGTTACTGTTGTAGTACTGTTGTCTGTACTGTAAAGCCTTGAATGTTATCTTGATGTTCATTTGATGAAACAACCAATTTGCCTGTACATGCGTTTCAATATGGTTTGAGTAGCAAATCCTTTTCTAAAGGGGAAGCAGTACAATGGGCTGCTTGATCAACAAAACCCTGCAGCAGTACCTGACGTAACATATCCGTTACCATGACAGGAAGAGCAGGACAACCCCTCTGAGTTTGAGGGCGATGCTTTATGAAGCAATTGTTCTTTTGATTCTATCAAGGCTACAGGACCCATAAAGTGTTAGTGTGGGAGTTTTGTTAGTGTGAATGTAAAAAGTTAAACTGACGTAAAGTATCTCTGTGCACAGTTTTATAGCTTGTTTTATTTAATACATTGCTGGCCTGTTGACTCAGTGCTGAGAGTGCTTTCTGTAATAAAAACAATCATTCATCTTAAATGACTAAAAATAAATTAAATGCATTCTACACTCACTTTCCCAGCTTACTAGGTAAAAAATGCAGGTACAAAATTAACTGATATTTGTTTGTATGTAATTTATATAGATTAATTGTTGCTAAAATTTTACTGGATCTTCAACCTGGAGTCCAGGCTCTATAAATATTTGTTGGTTTCTTTTGCATTTGGAAGAATATTTACTCTCAAATTGCAGTTATCTGTTTAGGACTGTTAAGCCCTAATTCCTGTGCTGATTGGTCAGTTGTAATTACTGTTCATATGTTATTTAGAATTTGCCTCCCTTCATCTCTCTGTTAAATTATTTCACCAGTGTGCTGTACTTAACAACCAAAAAGTAAATTTATACCTACAGTATAAAGTAACTTGCTGGCAGCTTAAATTATCACAGATATTACACTTGTCCCTTTCCATAAATCATTACACAGCAGACTGCCTCAGCACCAGCAAGAGTCTGTCTCATGGGGGAGGCTCAGTTCCCTGTTGGGGCTTGAACTAATGATGCAAACTTCATAAGAAAGTTACACAAGGCCCACTGGTAGCTAGTTAATCTGATTCAGGTGTAAACTCTTACTCTTCTTCCCCACAGAGGCTCAACATACTGTGGGGGGCTCAGCACGCATGTCCCTCCTCATTCTGGTCTCTATCTTCACCTGCTCTGCCTCAGTCATGTACCTGGTCTACAGGAACTTCCCAGAGCTTCAGGAGTAAGCTGCTTTTTGAACCTTTTTTGAATTTGAGAAGTGATCATGTCCATTATGAAAAGAAAGACTAATTTTGTATTCACAAAGTCCTTATTTGTAAATATGCTGATGTTTTTTCAGAAAACCGAATGATTGGTAATGATTCACCCACAAGAGTAAATATTGTTTTTAAAATGATTTCTTTTCTCGTATGAGAGGCTGTATTAACAAGCACTGTTGGTGATGTTTGTATAGAGTGAGGTTATTCTAAAACAATTACAAAGTGAGTTAAGACAAAAAATTATAAAGAATCAAATGATCCTGACTAAACCAGATGCACATAAATCACAGTAAATTAAATAATTATTTCTGGATTATAGCATCATATGCTTTTTAAAATTGCCATGACCTTTAGTTTTGAGCCTTGATGTTAGTTGAGTGTACCCACTCTGAGTTATGTTGAGTTTTTGTTGAGTAAAAGAAAATCATTGAAATAAATCTTAAAGTTAACAGGTCACCAAACACTGAGAGGCAGGCGCCGGTGCACTGTTAAAGCATGACTGACTTTTCTGAAAATCGTTGAACTTGGTGCCTGAATTGCACCCTCACTCTCTCTGGCATTTTGTCTTGTTTCTCTCTACAATGTCAGCTTCCAGTTGAATACCCATTTTTGTATAGCTCAAATTTTAATATCAAATAAAAATGTTAAATCTCTTTTCTGTAATTTGACTGACAGGGACCGTTTTAAAGAGTGATTTTGACTAAATGAGCCATATAGCAGTTTGATAATTTATGAACTATGTATTTATACAAACCAAAACAAGACTCGACCAAGTCTCAACCAAAGCAGATGAAAAGGAATTTTAGAAACATGATCTTTAAAAAGTGAAACTGACTGTTTGACTCAGTTATTAACACTAAGCATGTGCAGCTCAGCCTCTCAAGGTTCCTTCTTTCTGAACTAGTCAAGCAGCAGAAACAAACACTGCTGAAAGCTATTTCCAGACTAATGTCAAAAATGTTTGTATTGTGATAAAAACTATTAATATTAGTGTTACATGTATGTGACTGAGGATCATATTGTTATGTTTTTCAGTGATGAAATGGAGAAAATCAAGATCCCCAAGGACATGGATGATGCCAAAGCTTTGGGAACCGTGTTGTCCAAATACAAGGACACCTACTACAGCCAAGTGTTGGTGGCCTACTTTGCGACATATGTTTTGTATCCTTGAAGAAAATCTATACAACTCGTACTTGATAAAAAATAAATCCTATTGAGAGTGATTGCAGAGCATACCAGCAAAGGCGTTGCAGTGATAATTTGTAGTAATCAGTTCTCGGTTTTGGGATGCCACCACGGTAAACACTCGTGACAGCTTCTTGCTTTTTTTTTTTTTATTTCTGCCTGGAGTCTTCCACCAGGCATTCCTCAAAAGTATCACCATGTCTGGACTTCCAAAACCTGTCCTGCTGCATCTCATTCATTTGAAACATCTCACCATCAGATGAAAATGATCTGAGTCATTCCTCACAGTGTTAGCAGTGTCGGGTAGACATCAAGCCAATGACACCGACTCTAAGTCATGTCTTATCTTGTGTAGTGGTATCTGTATGTGAGCATTGGCTGGGATGTGCAGATAGTCAAATGTTAAGCTACTCAAATTGTAGACAAAAGATCAGGTGTCAGTGTAGTTGACCATTGCATTGAGAATAAGAATAGAAAGACAAATTTGCTTTGGAACTAACTGCAAAACATCGTGAGAAATTTCAGCAGGCCAGAGTGTTTTGAGGAAACTGCTCGATTATTTATTCTTGCTCTTGATTTATTTGTTAACACAGATTTGCCCTTGTTGTGACTGTAGGGTTTTGTTAAGTCGTTTACCTTGACGTTTTTGTCAGCCTCCAGACATTTGCAATCCCTGGATCTATCTTCCTCAGCATCCTGTCTGGATATCTTTACCCTTTCCCTTTGGCTCTTTTCTTAGTCTGCTTGGTGAGTAAGAACAGTATGAAATGTGTGATTTAAATTAAATATTGTTGCATTGCATAATAAATAGTTGTGTGCTTAAAGGTTTTCCTTGCAAAAGGGCATGTAAATACACTTCTTTTGCAGGAGTGAATCCTGTAAGCCTCAAAAATGTGCATTTCCAGTCAGGTCATAACTGAAAATGAAAATCTGGGATGAACAGACAATAGTTTTACATCCTTTAACACTTAGTAAAGACTTATCTGGGTTATCTGTGCAGTTCAACAAGATATTTTTTTGCATGCATGTGTGTCGCCACCGAGACATTTCACAAGAGGAAAGGCTTGGTTTCACATCTCACAAGGCTACATTAGCTTATGTACATGCAGTGTCATAGCTTGAGATTGTGGTTTGCGCTTCCATATTGTGAGCTTCATTTACTGATCATGTGTTTTATCTGTTGTTGGCAGTGCTCTGGCCTTGGTGCTTCCTTCTGCTATATGCTGTCATATCTGGTGGGCAGACCCGTGGTCTATAAATATCTCACAGAGAGAGCACGGAAATGGTCCCAGCAGGTAAGAGCTGTAACACAGAATGCACAGTAAACTGAGGGAATCTTAGTGAAAGCAGTTTTCTCCTCGAAATGTTTGATTTGAATGATTATTCACTTTTATATTTTGATCAACAAATTGTTTGGTTTATTAGAAAGTGAAGGATCCAAGTGTTCTTGTTTAATTCAGCCAACAAACCGAAATGCCAAAAATATCCAGCTTATGATCAGAACAAAAAGCATCAGTTTGACAATCTTTCACCAGCAAATGTTAGGGCTGTAGCAGCTCTAAACAACAGTGGTGCGATCATTCATAACATGATATTACACATTTTGGAGTTGCTGCATTGTAGTACTATACCACTATATTGAGACTGGTATATAATGGTTCTAATATTTGACAGCGACACTGATTTCTCCCTCAGTTGAACCAACAGTTCTCACTGACACTATAAACTGATCATGAGAATCCCATTAGATAGGATTGTATTACAATATTTTGAACCTTAAAAAACTTTCTGCTCACTGTATCTTCCCAAAGGTCGACAAACATAGAGATCATTTAATCAATTACATCATCTTCCTGAGGATAACACCCTTTCTTCCCAACTGGTTCATCAACATCACCTCACCTGTCATCAATGTGCCTTTGGGGGTTTTCTTCGTCGGTACCTTTCTCGGTAAGACTCTCTCCCTTCTATTGTTTTGATTTGGTATCATGTGCCAGTGACTCACCTGTGTTCCACCTGATTGATTTACAGGAGTGGCGCCGCCATCTTTTGTAGCGATCAACGCGGGTACAACACTCTACAAATTGACTACAGCTGGAGAGGCCGTGTCCTGGAATTCTCTGGCCGTGCTCGGTGTCCTCGCTGTGCTCTCCATCTTGCCCGTCTGCTTCCAGAAGAAGCTGCAGCAGAAACTGGAGTAGACCACTGTCATCTCCTCAGAACCTCATCTGCTGGCTGATCCCAACACCCCCTTCACTCAGCTCAGGAACACGCGGCTGTCGCCCAAGTAGCTGCTGGGGCTGGTGTGGTGCTAGTGGGAGAATCTCTGCCTGCTGGTGCGAGTACTCATTGACTTCAGAATGCATGCAGTGGTGGGTCGTTCCTGTCGTTGAGTAAAGTATACAAAAACTGGCCGCTTCTTGCACAAGTTTTATTTTTTTGTTTCTGTGAATTATTTCGTTGATTGTCGCACATCTTGTAAATGAGCATAATCACATTTTTAAAAATTATATTCACTGCTTATTATCATATGATTCTTGCCAGATAATTAAAGGTGCTACTTGTAGGATGTTGAAGTAAAACACGTTATTCTGATACTTGGATTTAAATAAATGCAGGTACCAGTTGTTTCATAGGACCTTCTCTTTATGGGGAAACTGCTGAAAGCAATGTCGTCAGTACCCTGTTCAGGCTTTTGCAAACACCTTTTTTTTCGTCTGGCAGTTGCACATCAGTTACCTCATCCTATTTGTTGCACCTTTGAAAGTCGACTTCCCTCTTTTAAAATTTATTTTGACTGTCTTATTTCAGCCTAATGATGTGCACCCCCACAGCAATAACTGTTGAAATAGTTTTTTTTTAAAAGTCAGTTTTGATATTGATGCTTGACTTGGCAAATGTAAGCAGCTTGAGGAAAGGATGAAACTGTGTTGACAAATAACTGATCTTAGTAAGTGCTACTTTTGTCAACATGTAGGTGAGTTCCCATGTTCTTCCTTGAAGGTGCCTGGATCCACTGCCTCACAACTCCCTCACACATCTACCTATTTACCTTTGCTACTGTGACTAGGCTGATGTTGTGTTTCCTCACAGAACATCCAAGATCTAACCCAAACTCTTAGCTTAGCCCAATTCAAATGGATTTTTTTAATGAGGAAGTTGTTATGGATTATACCAACACAATGACTTATGTGTGTTAAGACGCTTGCAGCACCACAGTCATGCAGTGGGTTGCACTGTTGCCTAACTATATGGAGTTTTGGCCTCTCCGTGTCTGCACCGTGGGTTTTCTCCAGGTCGTCAGGCTTCCTCTCACAGTCCTAAGACATACAGGTTGAGGATATAGGTTAAGTGGAGACTCTAAATTAACCTCGAACAATTGTTTATCACTCTATACATGTCGGCCCTTTGAGGCTGGTCACCTGTGCAGGGTGCACCCTGTCCAGATTTGCTCCAAACAGTTAAGATAATGGATGGATTGTAGAAATCCACAAAGTTGGTGCGAAGCCAATTCATGTAGGTCTGTAGTTTCCAGAATCATGGGTTAGAGGGGCTCTCAGGATTTGTGATGGCGATCATAATGTTCACACAGGTTGTGTATATTTGTCTCTACCCCACATCTCTTGCTGTGCCAGTGTAGAACTGGAGATGTCTGTGTCGAGGATGATGCACCAGTGCCCTCAAAGTGACTTACCTTGCTCTTACTGCTTCCATTCTTCACCAGGAGAAAGGTATTATGATGCCTGATTTATGTCCTTTACATTGTTTTGAATGGCTCATTTCATCCTGTGCTATGAAAGATTACTGATTACTTTTACTTTTCATTTCGATGTGTTTTTTTGCCTGTGTACCCTGGTAACTTATTGCTGTTGCTTAAAAAACTTTCTGGCCAGTCTTCAGAGACGTTGATGCAGTGAATGTACATGAGGGTAAATCTTTTTATTTAATCTCTTAAAACTGCACATTTTTAGTCACAGTTGGTTTGGTGCATCTTGAGATATCATGTTTTTATTTTAATGTCTTAAATATTTAACAGATTTAAAGCGTACTACTGTAAGACTATTCACCTTGTAAAACTTCAGTTCTACTATGTGAGGGCACTATTATCTTAACATGAACTGTTCTCATACAATTTCATCCTAAATTGGTTTATGCAGGACCTTCTCTTGTTCACCTGATATTCATTGTTGTCTTAAACTGCACATTTTAATAAGGTGATGAAGTCAATAACTAAATGCTATAAACTGGCCCTAAATGTTTGTTTTTTCTTATTTTAATCAAGCTAGATAATCTTCATATTACTCCATGATATTTTTTCTCCCGTTTGCTTTAATTTTGAAACCTTTTCTGGACAAATACTCAGTTATTGCTTTTCTTTATCCTCCTACACTGTTAAAGATGATGTGAGGCTCTCCCTGTGTAACCCTCTGTTAACATTTNGTCACCGTGACATCTCCTTATGTAAGTGCACGTGCGTGCGTGCACACACACACAAACACAGACACAGAGTGCTAATAACACCGTTCCAGAGGACGGATGTGTAAACCTTTAATTAGCGCTAACAGTCACAGTCAGACAGTCAGATTTTGTGTGTGTGTGTGTGTGTGTGTGTGTGTGTGTGTGTGTGTGAACAGCAGATGGGACAAACCGATAGAACTGTGATCAACAAAACCACAAACACTTCAGATCATCGCTCAGCAGAGACAAAATAAGTAGCTGCACGTCAACACAACATTTCTGATTCACAGTCACACTCTGTTCACACTCAAGAAAACAAATCATCTCGTACCAACGAGATAACGTGCAAACGACCAGTGGGACAGGAAGTGGAATCAACTTCACTGAGAACATTCAGGTTTCTAAGTTTTCCTCAGTGTCAGAGTGAATCCGGACAAACAGACGTTCAGAGACGACAGGGACCGTTAATATATACTGTGTAGAAATACAGGATTAGATTTATGATGTGTATACTGTCTCAAAAGACAAAGTAATCACCATGGTAACTTGACAAATGTTCTAATTTGTGTAAATGCCTTCATCTTTGTATAATTTCAACAGAGTGAAACATTTATTTTGGTGTACCTAATAAACTGACTCCACTGTACCTGAATGTGTTTCCTGCTTCTTTCTAATCCTCTTAATTAAAGAGGAAGAGAGGACACATTTGTTCTGTAAATTGAGAAAACTAATTAAACATCATATCCAAATAATGAGGGAGAAGTCCTCTGAATCCCGAGAGCCCCGCGCGTTAATTAATCTGAACTTGTGCAGATTCGTGCTCCACTTTTCTGTTTCTGTCTCTGAAGATAATCCAGCAGCGAAGAACTACGCCTCCAGACCGACTCAAATCCAGTCCGAGCTAAATGAGAGAAACGTGGGACCGAGCGGCTGCAGAGTGGAGTCGAGACAAACAGATGAAATACTAAGATGTTTGTAGCAATGTCCGACGCCACCGGGGTCTCCCACACTCGGCCAGAGACAAACATGTTGCTCTTCATCTGCTCTTCATCAGCAAACATTGAATATTTCAGCCGCACCATGTGTCGCTGCTGCCCTTTGAATCCAGGGGGAGCTAATTGGCTAACTCCTCTCAGCTGTGCCAATCAACTCTCCCTGGTTCACCTGGAGGTTCACTGAGCCCCCCTCCCCCACAGTGTTTTTATTCACTTTTCTTTCTTCGCTCATTAAAACACAAAGATGTGAAACCAGAAGCTCAACCCTCCTTCTGCTGCTCATTTCCCTCTTTAATCTCCACCATGTTGAACACAGGACCAGTTATGTAAATTAACCTTATTTAAAGCATTAATTAGCACATTTTACACATGACTGCTGTGAACTGCTCTGGTCTGAACTCGTCCTACAACACACGACACAGTTGCTCCTCATCAATGTGCTAATGTATGCATCATAATGTTTCAACATGTAATGAGATCATCCGGCACAGAGGGGAGGAGGCGGGCGGGGGGGGGGGGGGGGGGGGGGGGGCAGCCGTCTGGTTTGAAAGGAGGCGGAGTCGCCTACAGGTGAGATACAAGTACAAACGTCTTTAACAGACACAGGTACCGAGCCTTGTGCTCCAGCAGCATCAGTCAACAGAGCTAATCAAAGGGGGGGGGGTTCTAATTGTGTTTGAGAGGGTTCTACGTGTAGTTCTGGTTCAGAGGGTTCAGCTGAGTGGAGGTGAGTGAGGTCCTGTAAGAGGATGTGGGGGTGAACAGGAGTTTCTCTGGGTCTCTCAGGAGTTCTGGTGATCGTTCAGGTTCTCAGAGTCCTGACGTCCTTAAAAAGATTCTATGAGTCGTTCAGGACGTTTCTAAAGGACCTTGAGGGGATTTTAGAGTTTAAACACAGAGTGAAGTTGTGATATGTGAGATGATGTGATAAACAGCACCATCAACAATAAACTAAATGGGCGAGACAATTTGCTTGGACAATTTTATGGCAAGAAGCAGTGAAGATGTTCCTCAGGTCCACGGAGGACACGTCATGATACTAACACACAAAGAGGAACAGTGAACCAGGGGTTCTCCAGTCAACCATCCTTAAAACGCCTTCGTATAGAATCACACGCTGTGCTACACACACACACACACACACACACACACACACACACACACACACACAAAGGTCAGTAGAGGGTCTCACCACTCACAGAAAAAACAAAATACACACTAAGAAAAGAATAGGCAGAAACATACGAGCATCATCAAATAGAAAATAACAAGCCCATGTTAAAAACATGTTGGTAAAAAGATTCATTTGAACATCAACATTCAGATGATTGGTGTGGACAAAGAGTCTTTATATGAAATATATAAAGATGAATGATCTTATTTTACCCCTCTTTTTTCTGTACTTAACATTCATAATGATATTAATGTGCTTTTCAATGTTCGATCTACACTTTCTACACTTCTTTACAGGACTCTTGATAGAATGTTGACTTTTATCTGTGTAGAAGATGATGTAAACAGAGGCTGGAATATTGATGCCTCCCTAGAAATAAGTAACTAAAAAGACTAAATCACTGTCTCGAAGCAAAGCAGCCTGGTAAAGTGAACAGCTGACTTAGTGAGTGGAGCTGCACTTTGGCTGCTGAGTATAAATAATCAGTATCATGCACAAACAAAGCCTCATGTTACATTATGGATTGTTGCCAGATGATTACAGCTGTGCTGCTGCTGATGGACCACATTACTATTAGACTGCAAAGCTCTTGTGATTTCTATCAATGTGTAAAACTAAAAATAGTTAGTGTAACTAGAAACTAGGGAGAATTCTTTCAGAATAAGATAACTTCTCCAAGTTATAAAAAGTACATGGAAACTCCAAATGGAGTATTCTGAAATATTGTTTGTAGATTAATAACAGGAAGAGTTGTTTATATATATGGCTGAATTTGTAGACTCTCTTTCTTTAATTCTTAAAACATTTCAGATTAAATGGTAGTTTGGGGATGAATTCACATTTAGACATATAGTGGTGAGCAAAGGTTAAGGGGGCTTTACTTGTTTCGATTGTTATCCATCACATGATGTGGTCAGAAAGGCCTCTAACTGGTCCCAGTGTGAGTGACCTCAAACAAACAGACAGTCACAACAGAGGGTGTGGCAAGATAAAGTTGCAGG